GCACTGGGAATTGCAGGCTCTACGCTATGTTCCTCAGTGATTACTTCATGGTAGATCCCCTATTGTAGTTCTCAATGGACGGAATCAGCAAGGAATCTATTGGGGGCAAGTGTTCCACAAGGAAGCGTTGTGCTGGGCCCATTGTTTGGAATGTCTACTTCAAAAGACCTTCATATCTCATCCCAGAAAATCACATGCATATTGCAGACAAACTGCACATGACATTCACTATCCAGAGAAAGAAGAAATGCAGTGCTCTAAGTATACATCAATCACCAGCTGAGAGACTATAGCTCGCTTGGTGAAAGGATGGAAGTAACATATGCACCTGAAGAACATGGTGCAATGATGATGTTCTAGGCACCATGCTGGTATGCTGTGCAGTAGTAGGAGGAATGGGAGGGTGTTGGCACCTGGAGAAGAAGTGATATCCTTGGGGTTGAAATTTGACTCCAAAAACTCACCCGCGAACCATGTTGTAATCTTGCACACAAGGCAGCAGGAAGGCTTACAGCACTTCGCTGGATATCTCACATCTACTTGCAGTAGGGGTTGCAAGACTCTGTATGAGGCACAAGTACGCTGCACCCTTGAGTCTGCTCCACTTTCTTGGTTTGCCTGCCCCCCTCTCATCTGCGACTGCATTGACAGAGTAGAGAACAGAGCAAGACGTCGCATCTCTCGCGGACATCTGGATAGATCTGTCATTTCAGCAGAGCCTTCAACATGGAGGGATGTGGGGGCCTTACTGTTATGTACAAGGCCAATATTGTAAAATACCACCTCTTGGATCCACTTCGGAGCGACAGCGTGAAACATAGCTTTTATGACAAGACGGGCAGAAAGAGCAACGTTCACTCTGGCTGTCCCGTCTCCAAAAATCACTCCATTCTGAGATCATACACCAGGATGACTCGAGTTTGGAACACATTCGTACAGCATTATCATGTCAACGAGGATTAAAGTCGAGATCAAATGAAAATGCTGGCCCACAGATGGCTCCAACTTCATCCTGTTCCCTACTTGTATGTTTCATAACAATCAAAAGGCTTTAAATGAGCTGATGTAGGAAACAGACTCTTAGCTTGGCCAATAAGTTAGGGACTCCTTAACTGTAATATAGCTGTCTATAAAGCTAGGGGTCCTTAACCTGTCAACCCTGTGTAACAAAAAAAAAAGAGGAGCGAGAGAGAGGGATGGAGAGAGAGGAGAGAGAGAGGAGGGAGAGGAGAGAGAGGCGATGAGAGAGAGAGAGAGAGAGCAGGAGCGAGAGGGAGAGAGAGGGAGAGAGCGGAGAGAGAGGGAGAGACGCGGAGGGAGAGAGAGAGGTGAGAGAGCGGAGTGGGCGAGAGAGAGGGCAGGAGGAGAGAGAGAGAGGGAGCGAGGAGAGGAGAGCGGGAGGGAGAGAGAGAGGGTTAGAGGAGAAGGGAGAAGAGAGAGGGAGGAGCGAGAGGGCGAGAGCGAGGGAGAGGCGAGCGGGAGAGTAGGAGAGAGAGAGGTCGAGAGAGGAGGGCGCGAGCGAGGGAGCGAGCGGGAGAGTGCGGGAGAGAGAGGGAGAGAGTGGGAGAGAGAGGGCGGAGAGGGCTGAGAGCGGGGGCGCGAGAGGGAGAGGAGGGGAGAGAGAGGGAGAGAGAGTGATGCGAGAGGGAGAGAGAGGGGAGAGAGAGAGCGAGAGGGAGAGAGCGGGAGAGCGAGGGCGAGCGCGGGCGAGAGAGGGAGAGGCGAGAGGTGAGCGAGAGGGGGAGGAGGGCGAGAGGAGAGAGGGAGTGAGGGAGAGAGGATAGAGGGGAGAGAGGGATTGAGAGTGGGACGAGGAGGGAGAGGAGGGAAGAGAGGGGGGAGGGTCGGGGGAAGGTAGGTAGGTAGGTTTTGAATGTTGAGTGTGCTGTCCCCCCCCCCCCCCCCCCCCTCCCCCCCCCCCCCCCCCCCCCCCCCCCCCCCCCCCCCCCCCCCCCCCCCCCCCCCCCCCCCTATGGGGAAGTTTTGAACCAAAGTGTGAGAGTACTGGTGGTTGGGGATTTCGTTGCTGAAGTGGTTAAAAAATGTTGTGGAGGGAAAGTAGTAGGTAAATTGCGGTTCCAGGGGCTAAATGAAGGTGGTTTTAGAGTGGGGTAGGGGATGTGTAGATCAAGCATTTACATTGAAGCCTATAGTGAGCGTATTTTAATGTAGGGAGTTTTCATGCATTTATGGATTTAGAAAAGGATATGATTAGAGTGGATGAGGAGCATGTGGCAGATGTTGCAAGTATATGGAATAGGTCTTAAGTTACTAATGCTGTAAAGAGTTCTTATGAGGATGTGAGAGCTCAGGTTAGGGGAGTGTTAGAAGAGAGGGAGAATACTTCCGGGAAAAATTAGGTCTTAGACAGGGATGTCATAATGTCACCATGGTTGTTTAATATATTTTATAGATGAGGTTGTAAAAGAAGTAAATGCTAAGGTTGTTGGGGATAGGGGTGGGGATTAGTTATGGGAATCAAATACAAAATGGGAATTTACACTGTTACTTTTTTGCTGATGTTACGTGCTTATGGGAGTTTCTAAAGAAATGTTGCAGAGGTTAGTGGATTGGAGTTGGGAGTGTGTTGTAAAGGTTAGAAAGTGAGTGAACGTAGAAGCAAGATTAAGGTGATGAGGGTATCAAATGATTTAGATAAAGAAAAATGGAATATCAAATTGGAGAGGAGGAGTATGGAAGAAGTGAATGTTTTCAGATATTTGGGAGTTGACGTGTGAGCGGATGGATTTATGAAGGATGAGGTTAACCATAAAGGTAGTAGGTTGGTAGACAGCAACCGCCCAGGGAGGTACTACCGTCCTGCCATGTGAGTGTAAAACGAAAGCCTGTAATTGTTTTACATGATGATGGGATTGCTGGTGTCCATTTTTCTGTCTCATAAACATGCAAGATTTCAGGTACGTCTTGCTACTTCTACTTACACTTAGTCACACTACACATACATGTACAAGCATATATATACATACCCCTCTGGGTTTTCTTTCTAGCTCTTGTCCTTGTTTATTTCCTCTTACCTCCATGGGGAAGTGGAACAGAATTCTTCCTCCGTAAGCCATGCGTGTTGTAAGAGGCGACTAAAATGCCAGGAGCAGGGGGCTAGTAACCCCTTCTCCTGTATATATTACTAAATGTAAAAGGAGAAACTTTCGTTTTTCCTTTTGGGCCACCCCGCCTCGGTGGGATACGGCCGGTGTGTTGAAAGGAAGAAAAGAGGTTAACCATAGAACTGATGAAGGAAAAAGGGTAAGTGGTGCATTGAAGTATATGTGGAGACCAAAAACATTATCTATGGAGACACAGAAGGAAATGTATGAAAATATAGTAGTACCAACACTCTTATATGGGTGTGAAGCTTGGGTTATAAATGCTGCAGCGAGGAGGTGGTTGGAGGCGGTGGAGATGTCCTGTCTAAGGGCAATGTGTCGTGTAAATATTATGCAGAGAATTCGGAGTGTGGAAATTGAGAAGGTGTGGAGTTGATAAAAGTATTAGTCAGAGGCCTGAAGAGGGGTTGTTGAGGTGGTTTGGTCATTTTGAGAGAATGGATCTAAGTAGAATGACATGGAGAGCGTATAGATCTGCAGGGGAAGGAAGGGTAAGGGTTGTCCTCGAAAAGGTTGGAGGGAGAGGGTAAAGGTTTTTTTTGAGCGAGGGGCTTGGACTTCCAGCAAGCATGCGTGAGCGTGTTAGAAAGGAGTGAATGGAGATGAATGGTATTTGGTATCTGATGAGCTGTTGGAGTGGGAGCAGGGTTATATTTAGTGAAGGGATTCAGGGAAACCGGTTATTTTTTATATAGCCAGACTTTAGTACTGTAAATGGGAAGTACAATGCCTACACTTTAAAGGATGGGTTTGGGTTTATTAGCATTTTGGGGGAAGGGACATGTTGTATGCTTTATTGATATGCTTTTAAACTGTTGTGTTCTGGGCACCTCTGCAAAAACAGTGATTATGTATGAGTGAGGTGAAGGTCTTGAATGATGACGAAAGTATTTTCTTTTTGGTGGGAGACTCCCAACTTTTTAAAAAAAAAAAAAAAAAGGGGGGAGTAGACTTGTCAGTGAAGTTTTATAAAGGTTTGGTTTAACCTTTGAATGAAAAAGGGAAAAAAGGTGAATGGGCATGAGGATCTGGGAGAAAAAAAAAAGTTACCCATGGAGGAAAAAGGAAAGGAATGAGGTATGTGGTCCCAACACTCTTTTGGGTGTAAAGATGGGGCTTAAATGCTGCGCAAGGAGGGGCTGGAGGAAATAGAGTGTCGTATCTAAGGGAATGTGTGGTGAAAAATTTTATGCAGAGAAATCGTGGGTGGAAATTAGATGGGGTGTGGAATTACTAAAGTATTTTCAGAGGACTAAGGGGGTTGTTGAGGCAATTGGCATTTAGAAAGGGGGGGGCAGGGTGGGGAGCAAAACAAAATTTTACTTGGGGGGGTTTGTATGTGGGTTGCCCTAGGAAAGGATGGAGGGAGGGGGGTTAAAAGAGGTTGTGTGTAAATGGAGTCTAATGGTTTTTGGGACCTGAAGGCTGTTGGAGTGTGAGAAGGATAATATTTGTAAAGGGTTTAGAGAAACCATTTAGCCAGTTCAAGTTTGGAGGTGGGGGGTTTACAATGCCGCACTCTAAAGGAGTTTGAGATAATGGTTTTGGAGTGAATCTAAATTTTCTATCGAGCCCCTCTGCAAAGACAGTGATTATGTGAATAATTGTGAAAAGTTTTTTTTTTGGGCCCCCGCTGCTCGGGGGGGGGAGGGCCGCACTTTGAAAAGAAAATTTTTTAAAGGGGTAAAAAAACAAAAGTTATTATGAGTAAGTATTTATTTTACAAAAGTTATTATGAGATAAGTATTCTTTTTTTAAAAAAATTTTTTCCCCCCTTAATTTTCCCTTGTAAATTTTTTTTGTAAATAAAAAATTCCCTTAAAAATTAAAAAAATAAAAAAATTAGGGTTCTTACCTTGGAGATTTTAAAAGACCTTGTTCTTTTTTTCCTTTTTAATCTGACGCTTGCTTTTGATAAAGATTTCAATCTCCCCTTTCTTCAGTGGCTCATCCCATGGCGATTTCTTATTGATTCCTCCATCACTTTCAAATCCCCTTTGTTTATAATTGCTTGAAAAATTTAATACTAGCTCTGAGCTATTATTCATGGATTCAATGGGTGTTAATGCCTTCTTATTAGAATCAGAGGCTACTGTTTTCTCACTGGTGCCAGAGACAACCAATCCGTTATTAGTACCACAACTCACAATGTCACTCTTACTACTGGATAATGGCTTTTCACAATTATCACTCTTATGTGAAATGTCAGAACCTGAATGTTTGTCATAAGAGATTTTAGTTTTGCTTACAGTACTGCACACTTCACTACCTGAACTTTTAAAATTTTTACCATTTTCTGCTTCTTTTGTATCATCAACCAATGGGTTTATTACAACTTTGTTTATTTTTTCTTCAGTAGTTTCTTGAATATTAGAAGACACTGCTTTCAATGGTGATATAAAATCAGAGACAGCAAATGAATTTTTTTTCTTTTTAACTAGTTTCTCTGTTCTTTCCAATAGTTTTCTTTTTTTCCCACAATGTACTGATTTTGTAGATTCTATGATGAAGCCACTTGTATCACCTTGCGAAGTACTATTTGCTTTCTTGGTCTTCTGAATCGCAGGACATACTTGAAAACCATTTATTCCCTTGGATACTTTGCTTTCAAGGGTAGAAGGTTTATTTGAAGGTTTATTACGAGATAAGCCAGACAATGCAGCAACAAGCTGTAATTTATTTTCTACAGCTAGCTTTCTCTTCAATGCTATTTTTTTCTGATGCTTGTCCAACCTCCGCTTTTCCTTTTTGGAGAGACCTTTGTTTTTAGGATTTCTACCTTTCTTGGCAAGTCGAAGCTTTGTTTTCTTTGAAAGTTTCTTTTTAAAAGATACTGATTTCAATGGTACTGGGTATTTGTCCTCATTCTCAGCTTTGATTATATTTCCCTTACATAAATCCTCATTAAATTTCTGGAAAAAAAAAAAAAAAAATATATATATATATACACATATAAAAGAACATTCCTGGACAAAAAAATATTAAATTGATCTCCTTAAGAGATCAGACATTATATATAAATTTGACCTTATACATATCTCACCACCTCCCCAAAATATTTCCAGTCCTGCACATATGAACACTGATGCCTCTCTATACACACCCACATTTATCTATCATACATACACACACAAAATCCTTGCCCTCCACCCCCAAGAGTGACTGTGAAATGTGTGTAATAGAAGCACAGGAGAAGGAATAAGGTAAGAGAATCACCATCCTAAACCATTAGCTTAGTGAGTGAGCTAAATGAATAATGTAATGACCCCCTACCAGGTCACCTAATGATAAAGTACACAAGCAACTTAAGACGCATTTCTTCACTGTCATGATATATAATGAAAGCCAAAGATACCGTGTGTACTTTACTTCATCCAGCCAATATTTTATGAAAATGAGGTAGAAGCAGTAGATAAATAAACAGAAATTCTTTATCTAGGACCAAAGCCTTTAGACAATACTGAAACAAAGCATTTATATAATAAATAAATCTCACCTTCCAAGACAAAAAAATACAAATCAGAAATCACTGATGAAAATTTCTAAAGAAAAGAAAATCTTTGTGGAAGGTAAAGATAATGAAGCCTAGTTGTAATACTCTTAAAGTAGAAGATAAGCAAAGAGAGAAACAAACACGTTTCTTGCTTTACTAAAAATCATCATACTTGAACAGAACACAAATATGGACTGACCTGCAACCTTTCAGCTGCCTTTTCCACTTCACTGTCAGAAACCTCGAGGTTATTACCCACATTATCTCTTGGGGCAGCTAAAGGATAAAATCCTTGTGCAACATCCCGCAATTCATTTACCAACTTGAAGATTCGTTGACGATTTGCTTTGCGTACCTTTGAAACTGCTCCTATGCTTTGAAGAGAATCAGCTAACAAATCTGTGGATTGGAAAAGGAGCAGGCTAAGAAATGAGTGGAAGCAGTCTTATTACTTTTTAAATCAACGACCATCTCTCGCCCAGGCAGGATGACCCAAAGAAAACACATTTACCAACATTCAATCAACTGCCATCTTTCCAGAAGTGTGCTGACATCACAATTGGATTACCCCTTCAACTGCAGCATCCACATCCCTCTTTCAGAATGCAAGCAATTCCTTTCCCATCTCCAGGACTCATAAGTCCGGCTCACAAGCTGATTTCCCTGAATCCTTTCGTAAGTTACCCTGTTTACACTCGCATGTTCATTAAAAACAACTTGTCTCCATTTACTTCCATATAACATGCTTACACAAGCTTGCCGGATGGTCAATCCCCCTAAAACTCAAAAGAATATTGTATTGTACCCCCTCCCTCTAACAATTCCCAGGATGACCCCTCCCTTTCCTACCTATAGATTTATGCACCCTCATCCACCTTGAGTTTTTCCTCACTCCTATACAATGTTATCCCTCACTGTCCTGCCAAGGCAGTATTTAGTAGGATCTGATGATAAGATGTTCCTTAACCCTTTGAGGGTTTTGGTCGTACTAGTACGTCTTACGCGTAGGGGTTTTTGACGTACTAGCACTCATAAATTCTAGCGGCCTCAAATCTAGTGGGAGAAAGCTGGTAGGCCTTCATATGAAAGAACGGGTCTATGTGGTCAGTGTGCACAGTCTAAAAAAAATCCTGCAGCACACAGTGCATAATGAGAAAAAAAAAACTTTGACCATTTTTTTGGAATAAATCAGCGACTTTGCAGTGTATTTTCGTATGGTATTTATTGTTGTATTCTAGTTTTCTTGGTCTCATTTTATAGAATGGAAGACATATTACAGAAATTGAGATGATTTTGACTGGTTTTACAATGAAAGGTGCCTTGAAATTGAGCTCAAAGTAGCAGAAATGTTCGATTTTTACCAAACTTCAAAAGTAAACAAATCGTGCCAAACGTGCAATACACGTCAACTGGTGAGTCTAATATTCTTACACAAGTGCACCAATAATATTTATACCATTTTTTACACTAATGCAGTAGTCTGCATAACAGTAAATCTTTTATTTTTTGTGAGAATAAAAATTCAAAGTGGAAAACAAAAAAATATAAGAGGGGCCTTGAGACATGACTAATGACTAGAGGAAATGTCATTTTAGTGCCAGGAATGTCTTCCTTGTTTATTCTGGACCCTATTCGGAAATTGGCATCTTTTGAAATTTGTGTGAAATTGGCAAAATTGCTAAATTCTGACCACTGTACTGGATAGTTGAATTTCATAAATGGGTGGTTTCTTGCACCCATTCGATAGAAAAAATGGAGTTCTAGCGAAATATTCATGTTTTTTGTCGACTAGTACAGTGAAATTGGCCGAAAATGGGGCTCAAAGTGGGCAAAATCGCTGATGCGTAAACATCGCTGAGACCGCTAACTTTGCAAGAGCATAATTCCGTAAGTTTTCTACCAAATTTCAAACTTTTGGTGTCTTTATGATCGGGAAAAGATTCTCTATCTTTTCATAAGAGAAAATAATTTTTTTTTTTTTAAATTTGGCCGACCCTGAGAACGAGTTTCGGAGAGGGCCTGTCGACCCTCAAAGGGTTAATAAGACAATACAAAATTGATGGATGTATACATACTAAAATCTGGTCTGAGTTGAGGTATACAGGCATCCACTTGTCCTGCTCTGGGATCAAGAATCTCATCTTCACTTCTGGAACAGAAAAGAATTTTGTCAAGAAAAATTAATAAAATAAAACTACAGAATCACTATTAGAAACTTGATAGTCAAAATGTAACTTCCCGATTCTGCTTCCCCTCTCTCTCTTTCCTCCACTTTTCTGCCAATCTACTGTAGTCTGACCTATAGAGGGAAACATCCTCACCATAACTCACTTAAAAGCTTTAATGACAGAAGTGCACCGACCTCACAATTCAAACTACCATCTAAACTGCAACATCCCTGCACATCCTTCAGAGTACAGGCACTGTACCTCAAACCTCAAGTTTGGCTATCTGCTTTCCATGATTCCATCCCTTCCTTGTGTCTAGGCAAAAATAGTTTGGGTTTGTACTTTTCAACAGACCACCTGGCACATCACTTGGGATTAGGAATGTGTGAAACATCCAGCTCAACAACTGCTCAAAAGAAAACCTAATTTTTAATATACCTTTACCTTAATTTAATAAGTTTAAAGTCAATCCAAAGCAGCATTCTCTAAATATTGGCTAGAAATAGACTGGAATAAAAAATAAATAAGGTAATATCAATAGGGAATTCATTATGTTAGTCAGCATACACAATAAATAAATATACAGTGGAACCTTGACTTAGGAGTTTAATTCGTTCCAGGAGCTAGCTCGTAACTCAATTTACTCATATATCAAATTAATTTGCCTCATTTAAAGTAACTGAAAAGCCATTAATCCGTTCCTGCACTCTGGAGAAATGAGAAAAAATACTTGAATGTGATGCTATTATCAACTGTACAGCTTATTTATCTATCACAATTCATCTAATATGACATAATAAATAATATAATTAACACAGAAACATGATATATACTCTAGAATGAATAAATTAGGCCAAGAGGCAGCAGCTGAAGCATCAGCCATTTCTGTCTCAATTTGACTATAGTATCTTCCCATGCTCTTACTGTAAGATAAAACAAGAGTATTTTTGAGGCTAACTGCAGTAGATCATTAGTTTTCTAAGGAAAACGCTGAAACAATGTTTTTATAAATAAGAAATATCGTGTAAAAACTGTCTATATAAAGTACTTACACACTTGGAGCAGAGATGGTGGGAGAGGTTGAGGGTGGGGGATGTTGAGGGTAGGGGATGTTGAGGGTGGGGGAGGTGGGGGTGGGGGATGCTGAGGGCGGGGGATGCTGAGGGCGGGGAATGCTGAGGGCGGGGGATGCTGAGGGCGGGGGATGTTGAGGGCAGGGGATGTTGAGAGCGGGGGATGTTGAGGGCGGGGGATGTTGAGGGTGGGGGATGTTGAGGGCGGGGGATGTTGAGGGCGAGGGATGTTGAGGGTGCAGCATATGATGTATTGCCTGGTTAAGTCCATGGAAATCATCGTCTTTTTCTTTTGAGCATTTATTTTCTTAGCACCCATAGTTAGAAAAAAGAAATTTGGCCAAATGACTAAAAAATGCAAACAAGCACGAGAGAACTGCTCCCACAGCGACGTAAACATATGTACTGCTTACCAGACGTTTTGCCATCAGCTATGCCAACTAGCGGCAGCATTCGGAATTATTATTAGGTAGTAGTATGTTTTTTTTTTTTTCAACAAGTCGGTCGTCTCCCACCGAGGCAGGGTGACCCAAAAAAGAAAGAAAATCCCCAAAAAGAAAATACTTTCATCATCATTCAACACTTTCACCACACTCACACATTATCACTGCTTTTGCAGAGGTGCTCAGAATACAACAGTTTAGAAGCATATACGTATAAAGATACACAACATATCCCTCCAAACTGCCAATATCCCAAACCACTCCTTTAACCCTTTGAGGGTTTTGGTCGTACTAGTACGTTTTACGCATAGGGGTTTTTGACGTACTAGTACTCATAAATTCTAGCGGCCTCAAATCTAGTGGGAGAAAGCTGGTAGGCCTTCATATGAAAGAATGGGTCTATGTGGTTAGTGTGCACAGTCTAAAAAAAATCCTGCAGCACACAGTGCATAATGAGAAAAAAAAAACTTTGACCATTTTTTTTAATAAATCAGCGACTTTGCAGTGTATTTTCGTATGGTATTTATTGTTGTATTCTAGTTTTCTTGGTCTCATTTTATAGAATGGAAGACATACTACAGAAATTGAGATGATTTTGACTGTTTTACAATGAAAGGTGCCTTGAAATTGAGCTCGAAGTAGCAGAAATGTTCGTTTTTTTACCAAACTTAAAAAAGTAAGCAAATCGTGCCAAGCGTCCCAATACACGTCAATGGTGAGTCTAATATTCTTTTACAAGTGCACCAATAATATTTATACCATTTTTTACACTAATGCAGTAGTCTGCATAACAGTAAATCTTATATTTTTGTGAGAATAAAATTCAAAGTGGAAAGCAAAAGAATATAAGAGGGGCTTGAGAGTGACTAATGACTAGAGGAAATGTCATTTTAGTGCCAGGAATGTCTTTCTTGTTTATTCTGGACTCTATTCGGAATTGTCATCTTTTGAAAAATTTTTGTGAAATTGGCAAAATTGCTAAATTCTGACCACTGTACTGGATAGTTGAATTTATAAATGGGTGGTTTCTTGCACCCATTCGATAGAAAAAATGGAGTTCTAGCGAAAAAATTTCATGTTTTTTGTCGACTAGTACAGTGAAATTGGCCGAAAATGGGGCTCAAATGGGCCAAAAACGCCCATGCGTAAAAAATCGCCGAGACCCTAACTTTGCGAGAGCATAATTCCGTAAGTTTTTTTTATTAAATTTCAAACTTTTGGTGTCTTTATGATCGGGAAAGATTCTCTATTTTTCATAAGAGAAAATAATTTTTTTTTTTTTTAAATTTGGCCGACCCTGAGAACGAGTTTCGGAGAGGGCCTGTCGACCCTCAAAGGGTTAAAGTGCAGGCATTGTACTTCCCATTTCCAGGACTCAAGTCCGACTATATGAAATAACCGGTTTCCCTGAATCCCTTCACTAAATATTACCCTGCTCACACTCCAACAGATCGTCAGGTCCCAAGTATCATTCGTCTCCATTCACTCCTATCTAACACGCTCATGCACGCTTGCTGGAAGTCCAAGCCCCTAGCCCACAAAACCTCCTTTACCTCCTCTTTCCAACCCTTTCGAGGACGACCCCTACCCCTCTTTCCTTCCCCTATAGTTTATATGCTTTCCATGTCATTCTACTTGGATCCATTCTCTCTAAATGACCAAACCACCTCAACAATCCCTCTTCTGCCCTCTGACTAATGCTTTTATTAACCCCACACCTTCTCCTAATTTCCACACTCCGAATTTTTGCATAATATTTACACCACACATTGCCCTTAGACAGGACATCTCCACTGCCTCCAACCGTCTCCTCGCTGCTGCATTTCCCACCCAAGCTTCACACCCATATAAGAGTGTTGGTACTACTATACTTTCATACATTCCCTTCTTTGCCTCCATAGATAACGTTTTTTGACTCCACATATACCTCAACGCACCACTTTACCTTTTTTCCCTCATCAATTCTATGATTAACCTCATCCTTCATAAATCCATCCGCCGACACGTCAACTCCCCAAGTATCTGAAAACATTCACTTCTTCCATACTCCTCCTCCCCAATTTGATATCCAATTTTTCTTTATCTAAATCATTTGACACCCTCATCACCTTACTCTTTTCTATGTTCACTTTCAACTTTCTACCTTTACACACATTCCCAAACTCATCCACTAACCTTCGCAATTTTTCTTTAGAATCTCCCATAAGCACAGTATCATCAGCAAAAGTAACTGTGTCAATTCCCATTCTGAATTTGATTCCCCAAAATTTAATCCCACCCCTCTCCCGAACACCCTTAGCATTTACTTCCTTTACAACCCCATCTATAAATATATTAAACAACCATGGTGACATTACACATCCCTGTCTAAGACCTACTTTTACCGGGAAGTAGTCTCCCTCTCTTCTACACACCTAACTTGAGCTCTCACTATCCTCATAAAAACTCTTTACAGCATTTAATAACTTACCACCTATTCCATATACTTGCAACATCTGCCACATTGCTCCTCTATCCACTCTATCATATGCCTTTTCTAAATCCATAAATGCAATAAAAACTTCCCTACCTTTATCTAAATACTGTTCACATATATGCTTCAATGTAAACACTTGATCTACACATCCCCTACCCACTCTGAAACCTCCTTGCTCATCCGCAATCCTACATTCTGTCTTACCTCTAATTCTTTCAATTATAACCCTACTGTACACTTTTCCTGGTATACTCAGTAAACTTATTCCTCTATAATTTTTACAGTCTCTTTTGTCCCCTTTCCCTTTATATAAAGGGACTATACATGATCTCCACCAATCCCTAGGTACTTTCCCCTCTTTCATACATTTATTAAACAAAAGTACCAACCACTCCAACACTATATCCCCCCCTGCTTTTAACATATCTGTCATGATCCCATCAGTTCCAGCTGCTTTACCCCCTTTCATTTTACGTAATGCCTCACATACCTCCCGCACACTTACATTCTGCTCTTCTTCACTCCTAAAAGATGGTATACCTCCCTGACCAGTGCATGAAATTACTGCCTCTGTTTCTTCCTTAACATTTAAAAGTTCCTCAAAATATTCTTGCCATCTACCTAATACCTCCATCTCCCCATCTACTAACTCCCCTACTCTGTTTTTAACTGACAAATCCATACTTTCCCTAGGCTTTCTTAACTTGTTTAACTCACTCCAAAATTTTTTCTTATTTTCATTAAAATTTCTTGACAGTGCCTCTCCACTCTATCATCTGCTCTCCTTTTGCACTCTCTCACCACTCTCTTTACCTTTCTTTTACTCTCCATATACTCTGCTCTTCTTATAACACTTCTGCTTTGTAAAAACCTCTCATAAGTTACCTTTTTCTCTTTTATCACACCCTTTACTTCATCATTCCACCAATCACTCCTCTTTCCTCCTGCCCCCACCCTCCTATAACCACAAACTTCTGCCCCACATTCTA